CTTTTTACATATAGCGCCTACCAAAAGTTCCGGGACACCTAAATAATTTTTGAATGGTTTGAAATATAGGATTGAAATTTATAGGGATACAATGGGATCACAAAGTCTATTATTTAACCACAAAAACACCCACCTCTACACCCGCGGGGGCCGGGGGGTGGGGGGAGCCACAAAATCTTAAATGGCATGTGGAGTTGAGTGAGGACTCGTTCGAAAGGGCTTTCTGAGGCGAAAACAACGCGAGGTTGCCGAGGTCTCTACGACCAAGCAATTTTGGAAAGTCGTCGAATGGCTGAGCTGGAAAAAGAAAAAAGGCACAAGGAAAGAATGGAGACAAAATTTAAATTAATAGAAAAGCTTGACAAAATCCTGGAAAAGATTTAAAAATATAAAAAGGAAAAGAAATATAAAAGATGTAACGATAATAAATGCTAATATAATTTTATATGATTTATAAAAGATTTTATAAATGGTTTTATTGATTCACCCAGTATGATCTATGCTACTAAGTATATAATATAAAATATAAATATGTAAAGTAAATATAATATTAAGTATATAATATATAATATATTAAATGTCTAATATATCATATAATATTAAGTATATAATATGTAATTTTAAGATCTAATCTTATATGTTGTGGCTTAAAAAATTAATAATATAATCCAAAATATGCGTTACACTTTTCTTATTCTTAGTCTTTCGGTTATTAAATATCTCTTAGTAGCACCTGCACGAGCAGCATCTACAGCAAATTTTATAGAATAAATTTTATAGAAAGCAGAAAGATATATTATTTGAAATAAAATTGAATGCTGACCTTCTACATGAGCAGCACCACAAACATTTTCTGGATTGTCTTCCATACAATCAATCATCTCTTCATTGATTTCCTCATTAAACTCATCACCCTTCATTATACACACATTGTGTAGCATACAACAAGCAAGAATGTGCAATGGAACCAAGTCAATTCGTTGTATGGCAAGTACAGTCAAAAGACTTCGAAATCTTCCTTTTAATAATCCAAATGCTCTCTCGATAACTATTCTTGCTGAAGCATGACAAAAATTGTAATTTCGTTGACGCTCTGTAAAGTGACCATTGTCTCGATATGGTATCAATAAATTTTCGTGCAATTTGTAAGCTAGGTCTCCAACTAAATGGCAATCTTCTGGGAATTTAGACACATTTCCCAAGTAGGTTTGTACTTCTGACAAGCGGAACACCCGTTGATCATGAACAGATCCTACATGCCCCACAAAACAATGGATAAATTGGCAATTGTGATCACAGATAGCCTGAAAAAAAGAAAAATATGCAAACCAATAAATAGAAATTTTATAAAAAGCATAGAAAGAAGTATTTATAGAATTAATTCTATAGAAACCAGAAAAGGCATATTACCTGCAGTTGAATTGAATGCCGACCTTTCCGGTTGACGTAAGCTTCAGGATGGTCTTTAGGGGATGGAATATTAATATGTGTGCCATCAATAGCTCCGATGACTTTAGGAAAACCACTAGTGGCTTCAAATCCTGCCCATGTTTGAGCAACTCGTTCTCCTGTAGGCCACTTAATCATAATAGATGCAAGTTCAACAAGTGCTTTTACAACACGTCTTGTTGCATATAACGCAAAACTTCTACCAACATTAAATCTCTCACAAATCGATCTAAACATTAAAAAACATAATAATTGCCTAATTTATGATTTCACAATAGAGAAAGAGAAAAGACAGAGAAGAGAAATACAAAACCTGAAAGAGTCTGGAATGGCTAGTCTCCACAATGCCAACAGAAACTGCTTGCGTGAACAAATCATAGATGTACCAGGGTTATGTCTTTGTAATCTTGGCTCAATGAGAGACAGAAGGTAATCAAAAGTTTCAAAGGAAATGAACAATGTTTAATTTAATCGTAAGAAATAAGTTAATTAGTAAAATAATAATTATATAAACGACAAATTCACAATGCCCTATAAATAAAAATATTTCGTTTGAATTTCATGCTTTAGAGGGTCACAGTTAGAGGTAATCAGGATTTATCCTAAATCAAATATTAATCAGTTATATTTCATCAGTCAAATTTTAGTTCGCCAATAAATAATAGCCAATAAATATATTTTTTTCTTATAAAGAAAAGATATTATTTACATTGCTAACTGATACCTGAAATGAGCCTTAAACTGTTGATTAGTTAACATTGGCACTATTGTTTCCACATAATTTTGTATTCTTGGCACTTTTCTTCTTTGATTAACATTCCTCTGCAAAATTTCAAGTTCTTCATTATCGCTTTCAGATGATGATGATGAATCTGTTAATTCTCGCGCTATAAGTGCTACTGCTGTTAATAAAGTTTGTCTATCTTGCTCCATGACTTCAACGGGTTCTGTCACGTACAGTATCATCTGTTAGGAGGCGCCATGATACTGCGCTAATGCTGTTCATGGAGTTCACAATCGCCAGTGCCTTATTGGCTCTCCGAACAGATCTCCCAGCGTTTGCGTCTACAGCGCGACAGCAAGCTCCCCGAACGCACCCACAGTAGCGCAACTCTCCCGATTTTATGTTGGCCAAAACGGAGTGCGCATGCGCGAAATAAGTAAGTTGGCCAGTAACGCCATTTAAATTTCTCTCTCACTTACTCTTTTTTTCTACTCTTTTCGTTCTCTCTCACACCATTTAAATACCCAATTAAATACCTACTTTTTGATACAAAGCAATTACGAAGCGATTACAAATATTTAATATAATTATATTTGTAATTATAACTTTATATATATACAGGGTCAATTTTTATTATTGCAATTTGTTGCCGGTTAGAAACTGATAAATTTCTGTTTATGACTTTTTTATGTCAGATTATTGTAAGTGCCTTAAAAATCGTGGCGACCGTTACAAGGACCACCCTGTATAGCATAATTATATTTATGTAATATTTATGTAATATTCATGTAATATATTATATATTAGACATATTTTGATATAAAAAATAAAATATCTCGTAAAATATTTAGTTTTCGATAATCTTACCGTAACACTTTTATGTACAAAATAATGACACAAATCAATCAGTTAAAAAAAAAAGAATAATTGTTTTAAAAAATACATTATAAATAATTACATACTTTTTCTTAAACACAATTTTTTTTTAACTGATTGATTTGTCTCACTGATAAATTTCTGTTTATGACTTTTTTATGTCAGATTATTGTAAGTGCCTTAAAAATCGTGGCGACCGTTACAAGGACCACCCTGTATAGCATAATTATATTTATGTAATATTTATGTAATATTCATGTAATATATTATATATTAGCATAATTATGTTTATTTTTTTATTATTTTATTTTTTCCTTTTTTAAGGGGGTTTCCTGGTTTGAAAGCGGTAAAAAACAACTATCTTCGTGAATTTTTTTGGACAAACAGTTACTGCTATCATTTTCAGGGTTATACAGATATTTTATTTACACTTTACACAATATCCATGAATTTTTATATATAAAAATAATATGATATAGTGAAGATATCTTCATGCGCGGCAGACATGTTTACAATGACTATATCAAATTGCTGACACTGTAGAGGCAAAACCAGTCGCCTGAAACAAAAAAATTAAATTGATTTGTAATTAATAATGATAAACGCATACACTAAACCTATTGAAATTAAAAAAAAATTGCGGATTGATAAAATTATGCTGTTATGAAAAAATAATTTCATTTTCATACCATTTTTATTGCAATTAAGTTGGCAAAAAAAAATATTTTTTAAAAATTTATTATTTTTTTACGTTTAGAGTATGGAGGAAATAGTTATACTTAAAATCCCAAAAGCCTAAATCATTACATTAAGCCGTTTTCTTTCTACACTATCAGCAAAATCGAAAAAACACGTTTCGAGAAAAACGCGTTTAAAGTTTTTAATTAGAATATTTCTGTTTTTTTTGGTACTTAAAATAAGTCTTTCGTTAATCAGCGATTTCTGGATCGTGAAAGGGCTCATGTTCTTCATAAAAATCTTCAGGCAGAGCTGAATTGGTTGCATTAATATCATTACCAGGCCATTTTTGGGATTTGTGGTGTGCCAAATTTAATCGCTGATTGTTCATCGCATCAGCGACTGCTTTACATGCTGGACCTACGCGTATTCCCATGATATTCATGACTTTTAAGACTATAATATCCCTCATTGAATATGCCAGATGATAGAAACGTTGCAATTTCGACCATTTTCGAACCACAATGGAGGTGTTTTTGGTGCTAAATGCCAAATGCACGGGTTCAAACTTTCATTTGAATTTTGAGTATATTTGCCTAGACATCGTTCCAAAAGGTCTTCTCTGGATAAATCATTATATATTGGAAGAAGTTCTTTGACAAGTTCAAGAGCAAGCGGTGGATCATGTTTAAAATTCAAGAGAGTTTCGGTGACTTCAGCGCGTCTCTATTTGCGGCCAGTGCGTGCCAACTTTCGGCAACATAAGGGCATAACGAATGATTGGGTGAATCATTTGTTGATGTCATATGATTCAACGTGGCCATAATAGCATTTTTCATATTTTGAACGGTGTTATTTCTTCTTATTGCTAATCCGTAATAAGTAGAAAGCTTTTTTATCAGAGCGTCAGTAAAAACTCTTCTCTTAAATTTTTTGGATTTTTTCACATTACGAAGATGCATGGCCATTCTTTTATGTACATGGTTAATGTCTTCGCTTTTTTTACAATAAAATCTTCTCCATAAGGTTGCAAATCTAGAATGCCTTTAAAGGTTTTAGAGTCACCATCGCCAATGTAATTAACATATCTAACTCCATAAAGTTCTTCCGA